TTCGTAAGCATTGAGCTTGAACAGTCTCTAGCGTCTTCACACAGCTAGGCCTCATATTGGAGAGCACCGGCGTGCTGTATTGCATGTATTCCACAGAGTATTGTACAATTGAATTAGCGATGATTCTGATGGGCCCCATTTCGCTCCTGCCACGTGGCGGAGAACGAGAGCAAAGGCGGGAAAATGAAGTAAAGATGATTAGGAGTGACGTGAAGGGGAAAATTTAAAGTACGAGGGAGAGGGTGAACCATATCATGGCCCTGTTTAGTGAGTGAGGCATGGGGTAGGAAAGAAAAGCGATGATGAGGTGAGTGGAAAGAAGGAGAAGGCAGGTAAATATAGCACAGCCTTGTCTGTACAGTAGATCAAGTGAGGGTGAGGAGGAATGATGTTCACTTGTGGAGTGAAAAGGTAGTGGTGAGAGCTTCATAATGCCCGTTGTGTGTTTAGAAAAAGTGTTTAACGAATTAGAGTAATTGGTACTTTACTACGGGAGAGAAGAAGCCGCCCCTTACGAAACCATTGCGTCTATCAGCGGCAGGATTATTCTCAATTAAACGTATAACTCGCAAGTACCGATTCGCTGTAACATTGCCTGAATATCAGGCCACAGTCAAAGTGAATTGAAACATCGCTCCTGTTCACATAAATAAATTCACACTTTTGAGACGTCACAGCTTAGCAGTAAAGTTATTTTTTGGCGCCAATATATCTCGCCGATTGATACTTACATGCACCCCATAAAGCTTTTTTATGAACTGCATAATTTAGCGTGCGCTTTTGAAGCCGTATTCGCAAACGCAGATGCTAGCGTTAACAAAAGCGCCCCAACGTACCAGCGTTCGCTTTCTTGTGCAAAGAAAAAAAAACAAAAAATGCAACATCCGCATGTGCTGCTGTTACAATTCAACGACTGAGGCTGGGAGCGCAGCACAGACCAAAGTTTGCGCTGTCCTTTTTTGCCGCTCCTCGGTAGCATTAATAATTCCCACTGATTTGAGTGACGAGAGGCCTCCAACAGCTGGCTTGAAGAAACGAAGCTTGACGCTAACGAGCAACATACCAGAATCACTGATTAGGTGTAGCCTTCCCAAGGAATACTACAGTTGAGGTACGTTTTACGTTATCTGGCTTATTAATAGTAATTGTTGGCGTTTTATGTCCCAATCCATGCATTAATTATTTAGGAGAAACCTATTACTCGAGGGTTCTTAAAAGTTTGACCATTTGGGGTTCTTAATATGTACTTGAATCGAACCAAATAGGCTTTTAGCATTACGCCTCTATGAAAAGGGCTGTCGCCAACAAGATTATATCCCGCAACCTTAGAGTCAGTATTCGAACGATACAACCACCAGACCAGTTCTGTGGTTTACTCTGCCGCCATGGTGCTGGCACATCATCATCATTTCGTTTGGCAGATTATGAGCTGCCTTTATTGGACCTTCTAGGTACTTTCTTTGCGTCGTATACACTATCGACTGGTTCAGGTACTCTTAAGCTATCTGTTTTCGATAATATTGTCGCAAATTGATGGTAAAGTTTCAGGTGTCAGAAGGTAAATCAATGTGTTCCTCAGGAATCTATCCTTGGCTTATTGCTTTTCTTGTTATTTATTAATGATCTATCTAATACTTTAAGTACTGCAGGCTGTATCTTGTATGCAGACGACACGACCATTTTCACTTGCACTAATAACACTGATGACCTACAACGAAAAATTTATGTTGATCTACAAAATCTAAGTTCATGGTGTCAAAAGAACATTTAAAGATTAGTCCAACTGAAACCGTTTTTATGGCCTTCTATTCCTTACCGACAGTATTTTCAAAATATATATTTGTCTGTTTGGACGATAACCTAATGCCAATATCTGATCGCACAAAGTTTCTTAGGGTAATCTTAGACAGGAATATGAAGCTCAATCTTCATGCGCAATCACTCATTTGCAACATAACCTACGGAATACGTGCCATAATCAAACCTTGTACATATTTTCAGCCACATATCAGTCATTCCCTTTATCACGCACATATTCACAGCCATATATCTTATTGCATCAGCCTGGGACAACACATATTTCACCCCACCTCAACCAACTTCAAAGCATAAATAATCAAGCACATTGTCTGATGACATTGAGTCATTTCTCAACCAATGCAATGCAACTTTATCAAAATTGAAATATCTATTCTCCTCATCAACTATACCAGCTGAAATTATCTATTGTTATGTATCAGCTTTTCCGCGGTATTCATGACATTATTGTAAATAACCTCGTAAATAACAACGATACTAGTTTTTCTGAGCTGCATAATCGCCTTCTGCTTAAGATTCGCTCCGGCAGTAGCAAGTTCACCACCACGTTTATGGGAATCAAGCTATAGAATTCCGTTCCTTACATCATTAAATCATTAAGCGCGGAACCTGCATTCGAAATCCAACAAATACTTTTTGAAACAACTGTCTTCATCCTAGCAATTGCTTTTTTTGTTTGAAACATGTTATATTGCTTTTTCTGTGTTGTATTGTAACTTCTGATTCTTTTTAGTGGTACATTTCTCTTTATGTTTGTTGAACATATAAGTATTTCTGATTTTGTATTTATTTTCACACTGTTCATTTCCTTTCTCACCAAAGATACTGTAACCACTGAATGATGTATACCTTCCTTTTTCATTCACATCTTTTATGCCCCCACCCCCCGCCCCCCGACAGTTTTTAGCTTGGGGGATCCTTGAGTATTACCAATCTTTTACACACTTTTTTGTGGAGTAATATTGTCGATATTGAATAAACTTTGAACTTTGAACTGAACTTTGAATAAGAATGGTTAGCCCCACTAAAGTGTATGATATGTAATTCTAATAATTTCATATGTTTTCTTGCGTAATCCATATCTGTATATTTCCCCAAAGTTTTCCGTGTATTTCTGTAAGAACCTACGGAAACATATGGAATTGTTGGAATGACTTACGGAACGTGACAGTGAACGAAGGAGGCTTTAACTGATCAGTAGTACTTCAGCAAAGCATGTCACTGCAGCCAGTGTTCCGACTAATAAAATTGTCTCCGTCAGGCCAACAAATTTTGAAGCCAAGTTTTCTGGTCTAAATATTGAATCCAGAAATTTCCTTCACCGAAGATATCTCATCACAAAGTACAGTAGACTGCCTTTTTTAACGATTTCGTATATCTCAAGACTATCAACCAAATATTTCCTACAGGGTGTGCTCGGGTAGTGCATACAGTTCAAGAGGTATTTACAGGCGCCAGGGAACGCCGTATATACTATCATCTTAGACAGCCTGCAAACATCTTTCGCATATTTCGAAATAACTCTTCATGCTTAACTAACGTTTACATAATCATCATCCACAAGGCCCTTGCCTTCTTGTGCGGCAAACTTACTTTTTTTTGTAGTTTACAGATACAATCTTGCGACTCTATGACACACGTGAAAACCGACAGATGAAAACAAAATGTGATACACAGGTTTTTGGAAAAAAGTTGGGCGCAGTACAAAACAGGGCCTAGAGAAGAGAGCGATAACACAGGCGCACAGTCACAAGTGGAACTTTCATGACATTCAGGATTTTTTTGTCAAACGGGTCAAGTCACTCACTTTTTTGTTTTGTTTTTTTTACGTGAGGGAAACTGTACCATGTGCCAATTTCGATAGCTATATATACTTCTTGTCTCTTCAATAAACATCCACTTGCGAGCGTTCGCCTGTGTGGCCATTCTCTTCTGTTGTCTCCGTTCTGCGTACTGCGCCCCACTTTTTGCATTTGGAATTACCCGTTACCAACTAGCCCACATGGCTGTTTTACGGCATGTTTTCTGAAGAAGAGCAAGTCCACAGAAAGCCGGACCACCGTTTTATAGGTCTACCAATATTCGCCAAAGGCTTCATACCATCCTAAGTGTGGTAAACTTGAGAGGGTTGATCGGGAATGTCATGTTATGCGGTTTCGCTGTTGATACTTGACATCTGCAAAAAAGAAAAGTTGATTCGCTCTCGAGTTTGTCCTTTTGCAAAAGATGTTGCATTGCGTCATTCTCTGCTTCGAAATCTATAGGCTTACACTAAATTACAAATGCTACATGTGTACAAACCGCTGTAACTATTGCAAAAGGGAAGCCTTTGTGCGGCCGTCGTGTCAAACATGGCCACCACTATCATCACCGTTTTATTTATATTATTGTCTCAATTATTTTTTGACTCCTCAATAACTATAAGCCAACGGTAATACAGCGAATCCTATGTACAAGAAGAGCAACTTTGCTTTGTTACTCTATCTATACCATAGCCTTACGAACATGACTATTCCATAACAACTTCCACAAAAGGTGGCACTAGAGACTTTTACTTTCATGGCTCTTTAAAATATTCTTATAGTGAATCGTACAATACTTCGTACCGGTAATTATTTCCAGATAACATTAATAAACAATTGATGTCACTCTGTTGCTGTTTAGAGAGCTCGGTATACATAATGTCAGCTACTAAGCTGTATATCTTACGTAAAAGTCTCATTAAGAATTACCAATAATCATTCCGAATACGCTTCCCACGTAAGCTGGAATGGACAGCTAGTGTCGATACCTTTTTTTTTTCACTTAATAAATTTGTTCCGGGGACCCTCCACGGTGGTCTAGTGGATAAGGCACTCGGCTGCTGAAACGCAGGTTGTGGGATCGACTCCCGGCTGCAGCCGTTGCATTTCCGATGGAGGTGAAAATGCTTGGAGCTCGCGTGCTTAGATTGAGGCACACGTTAAAAAACCCCAGGTGGTCGAAATTTCCGGAGCTCTCCACTACGTCGTTTCTCATAATGAAATGGTGGTTTTGGGATGCTAAATTCCAAACAATTATTATTAAGCTTTGGCCAGGGTTATTCATTTAACCTGCTCTTGGTAAGCATCACTCCGTATAACTGAATTCGCATTCTTCCTGTGCAGTTAAGAGGAACCTCGTGTTAGTACAGAGGCAGACCCATGGCCGATATCAAAGCTGAAAGCTCATCTCCGACGTCCGACAAGGCGAAATACCTTCACCACTTCGAAGGCATCCTGGTGGGCGACATGTTCGAAGAGTCGCGGCTTCGATCAGCCTTTGGTTACGAGCCCAGGGAGGAGGACGTGTTCGTCGTGGGCCTCCCGAAAACAGGCACCACGTGGCTTCATTTCGTGCTGCAGCGCATCGTGAACCATGCGAGCGAAACGCCCGCTCAGAGCGCCGCGACGTGCTTGCCTAACGTCGCCTTCCTGGAATTCGCTGGTGGCGAGAAGGTTGAGAAGTTATCCAGGATTCCGGGACTACCACTGGTGATCAAGACGCATCTGCCCTTCGAGAAGGTGCACTTCTCGGACAAATCTAGGTACATAGTAAGGCTTAGAGCAGAGTTAAGTGGTACTTAGCCCAGTGTTAGCCCAGTACTTGAGTGGTTCGAGTAGAAATATGGCTGACAATCGCCATCATTTCTGAGAAGTCAAGGAAGCATCCATCCTTCAGTGAAACGCCAGCGTACTAAAACCGTGTCTTTTCGAACTTCCGTCAGTTAGTACGCATCAACACGTTCCAAGTCATCAGCATTTGCGAGCCAAACACGTGTGCGTGCTCTCCTCTCTCTCCCTTTTTCCATCTTTCGAACTCCCTCGTCCCTATCCCCAGAGTAGGGTAGCATACCTGTCGCTCCAGACTGATTAACAACCCTGTCTTTCCTTTCCCTCCTGATCCTCCTAGTGGGTGACTAATCATTATATACAGTATGGTGAAGTAACGCACTTTTGACTGGCACAAAGAGGAGAGGTGTCGCGTCCATCTTGTCCTGTTTTTTCCTGGCATAATTGTGCCACTTCAGTCAGTCAAGAACTTTAATATATGGTCCTGAGGAGTTTAAGCCACCAGGGTGCCCACGTGGGACATCCTAGCAGCCGCTACCGTAGGCGACGCCCGAGTCGGGGCGGGAACGTGGTGGCGTTCCGCCAGTTCTTGGGCCCTCTGGACTGCCTTAAGTTGGTTTCGGAGATTGGGGCTCCTGAGTGCCTCCTCCCAGTCGGACTCACTGGTGAGAGGTCCCTGAGGTAACGCGGGACATTGCCAGAGCATGTGCGCGAGTGAACAGTACACTTCTGTGCAATCTGGGCACTGTGAATTTATGTCTGAGTTATAATGGCTGAGTCGGCCCCGTGATGGGTACGATCTCGTTTGTAACATTCTAAAGGCTACTTCTTGCGCGCGTTCGAGTTTTGAATGGGGTAAAGGGTATCGGCTTCTGTTGTGTCGGTAGTGGGAGGTAATTTCATGGAAGGTGAGTAGTGGGTCATTAAACTGCACGTCTGGGCCCAGCTCTTCGGTGGCTGATTGATCGTCACGGCGGGTCAGTTCTCGTGCTCGATCATGAGCCATTTCGTTGAGGTTGGGTTGTTGTGGGTGAACGTCTTTGCCCATGTGGGCAGGGAACCAAGAGAGGTAGTGCGAGCCCGTATATTTCCGTGTTTGTAAAATGCGGGCTGCTTCTGGAGCGATGTTGCCGGTTTCGTAAGCCCGAATGGCGGCGCGAGAGTCTGTGAAGACATTAGTGAGTGAGGGGTCGGTCATCGCTAAAGCTATAGCAACTTGTTCGGCTATGGCGCTTGTTGATAGCCTAACCGAGGCGGCTGAGCGTAGGGCTCCGTCGCCATCTACTACCGCGAGTGCGAAAGAGGAGGAGTTACCGTATTGCGCTGCGTCGACGAATGCGGTAGAGTTGCGATTCGCGGCGGTACGGTTTAGGATCGCGCGAGCGCGGGCCAGCCGTCTGCCTTCGTTGTGTTGTGGGTGGACATTTCGCGGAAATGGGGTTACCATGTAAGTAGCTCGGACAACTCTGGGGAGGGTTACTGCGCTTTCAAGGCAGGGGTGTGGGGACATGCCGGCCTCGCTTAGAAGTCGGCGGCCTGCCTTGGAGGAGGAGAGGCGGATCACTTGGGCCGTGGTCTGGGCCTCGATCACTTCATCGATGCCGTTGTGCATGCCTAGTTGGTCGAGACGGGAAGTGCTCGTGTTTTGAGGCAAACCAAGGACTTGTTTAATGCTTTTGCGCATGAGTGTGTTTAGTTTCGTCTTTTCTACCTTCGTCCAGTTGTGGGCAGAGGCGACGTAATTGATGTGACTCATTAGGAACGCGTGGTATATGCGCAGAAGGTTGGCCTCTCCAAGGCCTCGTCTACGACCCGAGACTCGCTGAATGAGTCGGAGCATGTTCTCGGTTTTAGCTGTGATATGTTTAATTGTTCTTGCATGACAGCCAGTGGCCTCGACGAGGAGGCCGAGAATGCGTATGGAGTCCACGCGGGGTATTCGCTGCCCATCTTTGGCGTGTAGCGCTATGGGTAGATCACCTAAGGGTGTTAAGTTACGAACGCCTTGGCGAGATTGCCGGTACAGTAGCAACTCTGATTTTGTGGGCGACAAACGAAGTCCAGTGTTTTTTAAGTAGGCTTCTGTGGTATTGAGAGCAGTTTGAAGGGCTTGCTCCAACTCCGCCAATGAGCCTCCCGGGCACCAGATGGTGATGTCATCTGCGTATATAGCATGGTTTATGTTTGGGATCTCGCGGAGTTTGTCAGATAGTCCCTTCATTACTATGTGCCACTTCACCATACAATTTAATGACCAGGTATACAAATAGGTTGTTTAACTTCAGGGGAGTAATTCTGATTCATGCATTCGACGGGGCAGCTAACAAAAAGAGATGGCAATCCAGTTTAATCACGAAAGTTGAAAGATTCCTGAGCCAATTTTCCAAGTGATCATCAATCGAAGTTATTGCTTCGGCAACCGATCCCCTCGAAACTCCATCGAATCGATCAAAGAAAGCGTTCCAGCGCAACAACTAGCAGCAACTGATGCGAACCAAAAGCTCCTCAGTGAAGCGTGGGAGGCTGCAATCAGCAAGCAAGACCTGGTCGGCCTACTTCAACTGGTAGCCCCAAGACCGGTGGGTGGTCCAGGCCAGATGGTTCCCAGAATAAGGGGTCTTCACCCAAAAATAGTCAGTAAATTTTTCCTCTCTGCTTCATGCACGAGCAGAGTTGCAGAGAATTGTGGCACCGTTCAGGCACTCTTTTTCTCCTTCGCGCTTTTTACCTAGAATCATGCAAAAATAAAACGCCCCGTTGTTCCCCACTGACTTCATGATTGTGGCATGGTATATAGGAAGGGAATGGCGCTGGAGAAAGTGACAACGTCGCTCATAAACTCACCATGCCTATAGGTCTACTTACCACGCACGACTACAAAGTTTTGCTGGAATGTTCACAGCAACGGTTGATTTTTGCGGAATGTGTTTTTCCACAAAGCCCGAGTGATAGCTTAAAACCCCATTAAAAGATCCCAAATGTATAGATAATGCACACGGTGAGCTTTGAAGTCGCTGCGGTAGGTATTTACCACGTTTTAATGTTGCATTTCACATCAATTCATTAGTAAATAAACCATCACGTCGCCGAAGCAGTTTCTGGTTGTCGATACAGCGCAATATTGCCGCGCGTTTCTTATTTTCACTTTTGTTTCATTTGGGTTTCGCTCACAAAGCCTGTCAGGAATGCTCAGCGCAAACTGCGTCTCATTGTTCGAGAAGGTTCGCGATTTTTTTCAATCGTCCTGCTAGTATAGGTCACCAGTAAAAGAGCGAGGGATTGTGGGATGCACCGTCTGCTACCGGCTTCCGTTTGGAGAAGAGTAGACGACGGTGAACCGCTTCACCGCAAGCCTCAGATTATTCAGGATTCGTGCGCATGCTAGCCCATTTATCTTCATCCTGATAAACTATGGTCGGTTGTTCAGCCGTTGGCTGCTCCAGCTCGAGCGTGCTAGGCCAACGCAGGTATCAATTTCTATGTAGTAAAGACAGAAAAACGAGCTGGGCTGTGACTGTGCAGAGAGCCATAGCGACAGGTAGCATTTGAGTACAAAACTTTGAAGCCAGAATGTGCGAAAATCATTTTATCACAGGTATACGTGTGTATTCCACACTACAAATATTCGACAGATCCCACGTACCTGAGAATCGACGTTATGCGAAGCATGCATGCGGCGGGATGGTGACCGTGTTGCGATTTTTAGGGGCAAAGCTCCTTATAGCGGCACCCGTTCGTCCCCCGTAGTATGTAACAAGCATAACATTTTGACTACCAAGGTGGTGCCGGTGAGCGACTTCTTCTGTGCGTTGTTGAACAATAAAAATAGTGCTCAATGTACATGTCAATTGCTGCTAATGGGGAAGTAGAGACAGGAGCATTCGGCTTTTAGTTAACGCGCAGGATGCGATCACCATTAGCAGCCATTGGCATGTACATTGAGCACTATCTGACAAGAAAGGGTTGCTACGTTATACTCGCTGGGTGTAACCTCCTTAGCTTTAGAAAGGTTTAGCGAGCATTGAGCCGCAGTGCCATGAATACAATGAACTTGCATATACCATGAATGAACTCGAGGGGGTTAAAAATGGGAAGTAGATACGAAGCGCAAGCCGTAAGAAAGTAAAAGCTGCTTCTTCTTCTTCTTCTTCTTTCTTCTTCTTCTTCTTCTTCTTCTTCTTCTTCTTCTTCTTCTGCGTGCTTCTTCTTCTCCCTTCTTACTTCTTCTTCTTCTTCTTCTTCTTCTTCTTCGTCTTTCTTCCTTCTTCTTCTTCTTCTTCTTCTTCCTCTTCTTCTTCCTTCTTCTTCTTCCTTCTTCTTCTTCCTTCTTCTTCTTCCTTCTTCTTCTTCCTTCTTCTTCTTCCTTCTTTCTATCCTTCTTCCTTCTTCTTCCTTCTTCTTCTTCCTTCTTCTTCTTCCTTCTTCTTCGTCCTTCTTCTTCTTCCTTCTTCTTCTTCCTTCTTCTTCTTCTTCTTCTTCTTCTTCTTCTTCTTCTTCTTCTTCTTCTTCTTCTTTCTTCTTTCTTTCTTCTTTCTTCTTCTTCTTCTTCTTCTTCTTCTTCTTCTTCTTCTGTGTGCTAACACTGCACACAGCGCACAAGGATGCAGGACAACAGGGCAGATCAGACAGAGCCCCACAACAACATCATCATCTTCATACCTTCTGTCTCGTTTCGGCGCCCATGCCTGAAGTACCTTTCTAGTCCCGCGACATTCCCCTGGGCGGCAAAGCACCGTCCCGGTACCTGCTGTTATTAGACGGACATGTCACTGCAATAGGGCTTTAGGCGAGAAACGTGCACAATGTCAGTTCTGGGGTTCGTAGTAGGGGAAATTTCATAGGTAGCAGCTGTCACCTGGCGCAGTACTCGGTAAGGCCCAACGTGTCGCGATAGAACTTTCTCGCATAGGGCGACACGACGGAATGGAAGCCACAGTAGCACGAGAGAGCCTGGAGCAAAATCCACACCCCTATGTCGGTGGTCGTAGAGCGACTTTCGTGCTCAATGGGACGATGAGAACCTGGCGCGGGCTACTGTACGTGCAGTCAGAGCACGGTAGGTGGCATCTTGCGCGTATACGAAATGGTGGTTGAAACGTCATGTGCAAGCAAAGTATCGTAAGGGATCATGGCCAAAGAGAAGATAAAATGGTGGCTAGCCGGCAGTCTCATGACGCGACGAGTTGTAGGCAAAAGTTACTAATGAGAGGATAGTGTCCCAATCGGTGTAGTCATCAGAGACGTACATTGAGGCATGTTCGTCAATGTGCGATGGAAGCGTTCAAAAGTCCGTTAGTCTGAGGAAGTTTGCCGCGTAGCACAGGATCTAAGGAGGTCGTCAACCACACGAGACAGGAAGCAGCGGCCACGGTCCGTGAGGAGGTGAGAAGGAGCGCCAGGCTGAAAGATGATGTCGTATAGAAGGAAATCTGCGACGTCTGTCGCGCATCTGGTCGGTAGTGCTCGAGTAATTGCATACCGAGTGGCATAATCCGTAGCTACTGCTATCTATTTGTTTCCCGCTGCCGATGTTGGGAAGACACCTAACAAATCCAACCCCATCTGATGAAACGGCTCGGCTGGGGCTTCAATAGGTTGAAGGTGACCGGTGGGGAGAGACGTACGCTTCTTCCGGTGCTGGCACAGGTCACACGCTGCAACGTAGCGACGAACGGAGCGATACAGGCTCTTCCAGAATACCTGTTGGCGGACGCGGTCATAAGTTCAGGAGGCACCTAAATGTCCAGATGTTGGGGCGTTGTGAAGTTCTTGCAAGATCTCTTTGTGCAGATGACGTGGGATGACGAGCAAAAGTTCCGCGCCATCGGGCTGCAATTCGCCGCGTTACAAAACATTGTCTTGAAGCAAGAGCACGCTCAGTGAAAGGTCTTTCTGGCCAGATTAAGGATGGTCAGCCATAGATAGCAGCGACGGATCTCGGTGTTGTTCGTCAGCCATGTGCAGAAAATCTGTCATGGCAAGTATGTTCACATCGGCTTCCAACTCAGAGGAGTTGAGTGGATCAACAGGGTGTCGAGATAAACAGTCCGCATCGCTGTGAAGCTTGCTGGACTTGTACACTACCGAGAACGTGTACTCCTACAATCGCAATGACCATCGCCCGAGTCTTCCTGTTGAATCTTTAAGGGTTGACAGCCAGCAGAGCGCATGGTGGTCTGTGATGACTGCGAACGGGCGTCCGTACGAGTACGAACGGAATTTTGCGATAGCCCAGACGAGAGCCAGGCGCTCCCGCTCAATAATGGAATAGTTCCTTTCCGACTGGGAAAGTAGGTGGCTAGCGTATTTTATGACACAGTTTGTGCCGTTCTGCTATGCCATGGCCACTTGCGTCGGTGCGAAGCTCCGTTCAAGTGGCGGGGTTGAAATGAGCCAACACAAGTGGTGATATAAGCGCAGAAATCAGTGACGCAAAGGAATGTTCTTGGTCATCACGCCAGGAAAAAGTCATGTTCTTTCTGAGGAGATCCGTTAGGGGCCGAGCTATATCCGCGAAGTTGCTGGCAAAACGGCGGAAATACGAGCAGAGCCCCAAAAAGCTGCGGACTTCTTGAGTGCAACTTTGGATCGGGAACTCGCGTACAGCGCGTACTTCGTCATAGGTCAGGTCGTACACGAGTAGCGTCAACAAGGTGGCCAAGTAGCTTGATCTGACGACGTTCAAAGGTGCACTTAGACGCGTTAATCTACAGGCCAGCACAGCAAAAAATGTCAAGGATGGCCGACAGACGTGTAAAATGGATTTCAAAGGTTGGTGAGACAACAGACATCATTTAGATAGCACAGGCACGTCTACCATTTCAAACCGCGAAGGAGGGAGTCCATCATGCGTTCAAAAGTTGAAGGTGCATTGCACAACCCAAAAGGCCTTACTCTTTGATAAAGCCCGTCGGGAGTAATGAATGCTGTCTTCTCGCGATTGCGGTCATCGACTGAAATTTGCCAATATCCAGATTGTAGGTCTAGGGAAGAGAAATACTTGGCACCATGTAGGCAGGCGAGCGTATCATGAATTCGAGGTAGAGGATAGACATGCTTCTTGGTTATTCAATTTAGATGGTGATAAGTGACGCAGAACACCAGATGTTATCCTCCTTTTGAACAAGCACATAAGGTGATGCCCGAGGACTAATTGTAGGCTCTATGACCTCTTTGTCGAGCATTTTCTTTACCTCCTTCTGGATTATTTGGCGCTCTGAATGAGACACACGGTAAGGATGCTTACGAAGGGACTGGCGTCGCCTGTGTCTATATATACGGTGGGCTAAGACGCTCGTGCGGCCCAAGGAATGGTCGTTGATATCAAAAATGTCGATGTGAGAAACTAGAAGACCACGGAGTGCTTCAACTTGAGAGGGCGACAGGTCGTTTGGGATCATGTTGTTCACGAAAGCTCGATTCTGCTTGGCCGCCACAGGTTCGGCTACGGTCTTGATGTCAGTAATGAAATATGAAATTGTACATTGCTCCAGAGTGGAGAGTTCTGCTAAGGTGGTGCCTTGAGGAATGACCTGCGTCAACACAGAGAAGTTCAGAACAGGGAAAAGCGTCTTGTTCTCGCTAATCCTCACTACAGTATGAGAAAGTATGGTGTTCCGAGAAAGGGTCAGGTCAATGAGTGGAGCTGCCGGGTCTCGAATACAAGCGACACTCGCTGTACCATGACAGCGGTGAGAACAGTCATTGGTCGTACAATAATCTTACGATCGGTGGAAAGTGTCGCCTTTCACACGTCAGACATCGAACATTACAGCGTTATCGCGTAAGATCTCGAATAAACTTGACTTTTAGAATAATTTCGAACAAACGCGAAGAGAATAATAATAACATTAATAATAAGAAGAAAAAGAGAAAGAAAAAAAGAAAGAAAAAGGAGAAGAAAAAAAGAAAAAGAAAAAAGAAAGAAAAAGATAAAGAAAAAAGAAAAATAGAAAGAAAAGGGGAAAGAAAAAAAGAAAAAGAAAAACAGGAAAACAACAACAACAAGGAAAACAACAACAACAACAACAAGATTTCACGGCCCAGAACGGCGATATGATTACGAGAAACGCTATAGTGGAGGGCTCCAGGAATTTCGACCACCTGGGTTTGTTTAACGCACACTCACGTTGCACAGCACACAGGCCTATACCATTTGGCCTCCACAGAAATGCGACCGCTGCGGGTGGAATCGAACCCGCGATCTCCATGTCAGTAGCCGAGTACCTTAACCACTGTACACCATGCACCGCCGTGGACTCGTAACAGTCGCAAAGAGTCTTAAACATTGCCTCACGGTCTGAGCAGAGCATTTCTAGCAGCCTTTGTGGTGTAACCCAAATAAAAATAAGCCCCACCATGGTAGTATTGTGGCTAAGGTACTCGGCTGCTCACCCGCAGGTCACGGGATCGAATCCCAGCTGCGGCGGCTGCATTTCCAATGGAGGCGAAAATACTGCTGGTCCCTGTGCTCAAATTTGGGTGCACGTTAAAGAACCCCAGGTGGTCGAAATTTTCGGCGCACTCTACTACGGCGTCTCTCGTAATCATATGTTGGTTTGGAATGTTAAGCCCCACGTATCAATCAATCAATCAATAAAAAAGAAAGCAGTAAACCTGTCTGACAGTACAAATTCGCATGCTACTGGTGCATCATGAAGTGATAATTCCTTATAGACGTATCTTTTTTACAGCTAACAGTGACAAGTTTTTTGCGCGTAATGCCACCGTCTCCACCAGTGGGACTAGAAGAAGCTTCGCTAAAAAAGCGGCTCAAGGATTTCCATTTTCGCATTCGCATCACGAATCAAATGTAAACCTCTCAATTTAGATATTCATTAAATGGTTCAGATGCGATATTTTTGGCTTCTTCCTGTCAATTGAGAGCGAGGACGCTTCGAAAAAGGCAGATTTAACGCGTTGTCATACCAAACCAGTTTGCATTTAATTTCACTTTCTTTTACTTTACACAAATTGTCATTTTTTACGCAGCTCTGATATATAACTTCTTTCTACAACAAATTCGCAGAATATATTCCATGAGAAACCGAAAGTTCTTTATGACACATCTGAATGAACTGGTGTCCTTTCTTATGCTTTCATTTTCAAGCTATTATTCTTTATTTTGTTTTCTCGCGCTTCTGCACGAGACTGCACGAGACTGCACGAGCTCTACCCTTCACTACAACTCCGGCCTCCAACCGGCCTACATCAACGTGCAGCTTCGCTTCTCTATCGCCTTTGGCAGGGATTTGCTTTCATGAGGCTCTGTGCAATGCACTGGAACTCATCAATTCAGAAGAAATACTAGGTAAATAGGCTGTGTTTTCTGACTCAAAACCAGCGTTACAGTGCCTGATATCAGTTCTCTGACGCGGATGCCACGACCAGTTGACCTACCAAACCGTGAAACTTCACCACCTTTTAATACAAAAAGGCCACGACATCCTCTTTCAATGGTTACCTTGGCATTATGGTGTAGGCGGCAATAATTCTGCAGATCATGCTGCTCACACATCACATAAAGAAGCGAACAGCGTTCCGATTCCGCTTTCAAGAGCGGATGCGGCGAGGCAGATTCGTCAACTGGCCCGCAGTTTCACACTGACTGACGGGAAGACACCAAGCATACGACGTACAAGACTGCACAAGCTCGACCCTTCACTACAACTCCGGCCTCCACCCGGCCTACATCAACGCGCAGCTTCACTTCTCTATCGCCTTTGGCTGGGAGTCTTTCACGAAAGCTAATACCACGTTAATCGGAATTACTGACGGTGTGGCGTGCGATGTTTGCGGCACCGACAAAACTATCGAACACCTGCTGTGCCATTTGTCCTCGATTTGCCTCAGATAGACAAGTACTTACCAACGCAATGCAACGACTGTATGATCGGCCTCTTTCTGTGCAGGTGCTATTACAGCAACGTCCACATGCCTCGACAGCCCACAAGGCAGGGAAAGTCCTGCTATGTTTCCTGAGAAACACAGGATTGTGTGAACACCTCTGACATGCGGTAGAGTTCTACACGCTGCAGTGAAAAACTGTCAGTCTCTTTCCCGCCGTTTTTTCCCTCTCTTCCCTCTTTCTCGTCTTTCTTGTCCCCCTTCCCTAATCCGCCAGTGTAGGGTAGCCAACCGGATGTCTTTCTGGTTAACCTCCCTGCCTTCTCCCTTTTGTTGCTTCCTCCTCCTCGCGCTTCTGAAATCACTTTTTAATGTATAAAGCACGCTTTTAGCCTTTCACGCGTTAATTACATTACATAGTGGTCCCAACGCAACTGGGCAGAAGCATAGCTTTCTATGGCATCGGCTCAATTACCTATAAGCACTAAAGGCCTACATAACATACAACAAGAAAGCTGATTGTTACAGACGCATTTTATATACGAAGTTAGTTCGTATTTGCTCTTCCTCTGTCTCTCTCCATTCGCTTGGGAGCCGGAGAGACTACCCCAACATAGTCTAACCTCTGAGTAATCTTTTTATATAATATTTCGTACTCTTTACCTCTTCGTCGATTATAGAACGTTATCGTTTCAGTCGATCACAGATTGGTATGCATTTTTATTCAGTTCACGACCAAAAGCTCATGCTAAAGGTGAGCCCAAGTTTGGGAGGATAACACAACACTTCAGCCATGTATGCCGTTCTCATTGCATGGGTTAAACGGAACACATCACGGAATGTACGTCTTGAATCGCGGACTTCGCAGCCAAGCGTTACGGTTCGCAATCAGACCAATAAGCCCCGCAATCAGGAAGCACCGATTGAGAACTCCCCCTTTATTTGCGCAAAGAGGCGACCTGTGTCCCCATGGGGACACGAAACCTCGAACCGATATTCCGAGGATTAAATATGCTTATTCTTAAAGGAAACTGTGT